CGTGGTGGTTGTTGAAACAGTATGTGTTGATGGACATCAGAATAAATGGCGGTCACAGCCTATGATTGGTGAGAAGATAGCAGGCAACTTGTTGCTTGCTGGATCAATACTGTTCAGTGGGAATACTTTTCAAAATGTAAACTCTTTAGCCCATTGCTTGAACTTGGCTTTTATTGGTAGAAGTACATTTTATGATATGCAGAAGGAGGTTCTTTTTCCTGTAGTTGATAAGGCTTGGAAAGACCACCAAGTTGACCTGCTGAATGAAACAAAAGAATCATCATGGAGGAAAATAGCAGTAAAATTCTAGATTTTGAAGTCGTTCAGGTCACAGAGGTCTCATCATCAAATGCTATGGAGGCTGAAGGATGCAATCGGGTCCTCAAACATTTAAAAACAAAGGGGGTAAAAGTGAGATGTTTGACTACGGACAGGCATACAACAGTGACTGCAGAAATGAGAAAAAAAAACATTCTGAAATTTCACACCAGTATGATGTCTGGCATCTTTCAAAATGGGTGGTCAAGAAATTGACAAAGAAAAGCAAAAAGAAAGAGTGTAAAGATTTAACAGATTGGATTCAGTCTGTTTCTGCTCATTTCTGGTGGAGTGTTGCAACATGTGATGGCAACTATGAATTACTCATTGAGAAATGGACATCTGTTGTCAATCATATTAGCAACAAGCACTCATGGAGACATCTGTTGTCAATCATATTAGCAACAAGCACTCATGGAGACATGCTAAGCATTTCAAGAAATGTGCTCACCATAAATTGAGCCGACGGGAGAAGAAAGAAAAGCCTTGGCTAAAACCTGGTACTGCTGCTCTTGTTGCCCTTGAGGACATAGTCTTCAACATAAAGCTACTCAGGGATTTAAAGCTGGTAACAGAGTTTCATCATACTGGAAATCTGGAAGTTTATCATTCCATAATGCTAAAGTACTGTCCCAAGAGGCAGCACTTTAACCATGAAGGAATGGTTGCTAGAACACAGCTTGCTGCCCTGGACAATAATCACAATTGCTCTAGGAAGCAAGCTGTGGTCAAGAAGGGATCCAATGTGGGCAGTCTACGATACAATCTTGTTTTCCCAAAGATGCGCAAAACATGGGTAGTAAAGCCAATTAAGGAGGCCAAGCAGTTTGATTACATTACTACACTGATGGAAAATATCCTCAGGTATAAAAAATCAAAGAAACCGAAGAAATCCAAGAAAGCCAAAAAGTCTGCCAAACATGCAAAAAATATTGCCACAAAAGAGAAACCAGACAAGGAAACAGCAATCAAGGCTCACATTAGCAGATTCTAGACAAACTAACAAACCTATATTTATAATAAACAAACTATAAAATGAGCAAATGATATATGTACTTGTAAGTTAAGTGTCAAAAGGCCCAATTTGTTCATATAACATTTAATTAATCATCTTCATCAGATGCTGGCTTAAACCCAACATAAACATGATCATCCTCAGGTCCAGGAGGTGGGAAATGTGCTCTGATGCAACTGACAGCACAAGATGGCAAGGCGACTCGAACATGCCTTCCTAGCACCCCCCAACCAAATCGTGCAAGTTGCCGATAAGCAATATGCCTGTTCCTTTGGTTATCTGGGCCTTCAAATGGGTTGTCGTACTCCTGCCTGTATTGATACCATGCTGTTCGGAGTACAAACATATCCAAACACACAGAAGTAAAGGCTGGATTATCGGTGATGCAAGTAAGGGGATCTTTTATTTTCTTAATGATGGTGACTTCTTCATTGAGGGATAACATTTCGGGGATTTCCTGACAGCAAAGACATTCGTCAGATCTATCCATCATTTGGCAATGACCACATTTACACCTGAGGATATTTATATAGTAGATAAAGAGTGAACGCAATTATCTCGGCAATTATAATATATTTCCATTGCACAAAACTTACCATTCTAAATTATCCAAGCGACTTTCATCAGACGAAGAGTTCGAACCCTCTTCATCTGCTTGGCTTTCACTGTCGCTGCTGGAACTGGAGCCTTTCTTTATAATCGTAGGTTCAAATAAATACGGCTGCAGCGAAAACTTTGCTTCGTCCGTTTCAAATTTTACATTCATATTCGGTGATATATCTTCGTCTACTTCAGAAGAGCTGCCAGTACTCGATCGGGCCATAATTTAAAATGATCAGTAAGAGAATAAACGATCAATAACAGAATTTATTTACCCAAAATCACACCGAAATGAATTACGAAGCTGTTAAATTATAGTGTTTACATCAAGGACTGAGTGTTTCTATCACACACTTACGTCACGGCACTCATAGGACCACCCGCGGATTCAACAAACATGGCGGCAATAATGGACCAAAAATCAGTGAAACAAAGTTAAATTTCTCGCAAACGAAAGAGAATTGAGGCGAACGAATATTCATTCCAGGGTAGGCTAATATAAAGCTTTCTTATGAGCGACACTTGTTCTGGGGGTGGAGTGTCCCTTTAAACAAAAGACCTTTTCTCCAAACACTATCGTACGCCTTTTTGAAGTCGATAAAACAAGCGAAAATCGGTTTTCTATGAGATTTGTAAAAATCAATTAAGGTTTTTAAAACTAAAAGGTGATCAGCTGTTCGATGATGTTTTCGAAAACCAATTTGACACTTATTTATTACGTTATTTTCTTCCAGGAATTCATTTAAACGAGTATTCATTATTAAAGTGAAAAATTTCCCCAAGCAACTACTGATACATATTTATCATTTATAAACCTGAAGCGAGGGGGATTCGGCGAAATATTACCCGAAGTGATGATATTTAAGATAAATATCATCACTGAGGGTAATATTTCGCCGAATCCCCCGAGCGGAGGGTCTATAAATGATATATTATACCGAAAATTAAAAGCCTCCAAGTTGAGAATTAAAAACTTGACACATACCTTCGTGAATACGATGTTTTATTTTCGGATTAACGCAAGTATTCGTCGATTTTCTTTCGAATCACATATCGTTTGGAATATTAATGACAACATTTTTCAAAATTTGCTTCAAAATTTTGAAAACGCCCCAGGTTTTACGTTTCAAATTTGATTATTCATCACTCATCAATACTATTTATATTTTGTCGGCCATGTTTTTGTCATGTGTTGTCTCGCGCGGTCTACGCGAATAATGTTCCACCCCATGTTCCCCGGGGAACATGGGGTGGAACATTGTCAAAAGGAACGCAGGCTCGCTAATTGATGACGTAAGGCGTGATATCGCGATTAATTTCATGCGAGGTAGAAAGGGAAAGACCCGACATGTAGAAGAAGATTAAGTTAAAGTGTTATGTGAACAGTTGTAGTTCTTTACTAGCTTTAAGTCCAGTGTTAAGAAAAGGTTTGTTGTGTTTGATAAGCAGAGCTTCAAGAAAAGCAAGAATGTTGTAGTTGTTAGATTTTGTAATGTGACGTATTCTGTAGCTGTTGAAAACAAGGTTTTCAATAGGAGAAGAGTTGTCAGAAGACGAAGGAAGATCGTTGAGTAATGTGAACTGGTCTTGTGAAGTAGCTAAGAATTGAGCATGTTCACACTCAGAAAAATGTTGGCCCACTGCACTAGAAGAGAGCCTAGTTGCATGCTCTTTCAAACGTACAGAAAGGCATCTTTGTGTCATGCCAATATAGGTCTCGTATACAAGATTACTACGAGATAAAGGAGGAAGTTTATCTTTGTTGGAAACAAAATAAGAAAGCTTTTTAGTGTCATAAATAGTGATAAACTTAACCGGTTTAGAAAGAAATCTTTGTATTTTATTAAGACATGATTTTAAAAGAAAATCGCCACGGTTTCCGAGATAAGGAATACGAATCCAAATTTTAGGCAACATATCATCGGTGTCATGATTAACGGCATTGGAAGTAGAACTATCAATAAATTTGGTTTTAAGCTTTTTAATCAAAAAGTTTCTAACGCCAATAGGATAACCATTCCAAGACATAAAAGATTTGATAGTCTCAATTTGATTGTTGAAAAGTATTTTCGAACTGCAAATTTTAAAAGCCCGGTAGAACAGAGATTTTACCCATGCAGTTTTGCGATGAAAAGGCTCGAAACTTGAAAAATGTAAATACTGACCGGTGTGGGTGTCCTTACGATAAATGTCAGTACCTTCAACCGAGACTTTTATGTCTAAAAAATGAACTACGCCATCGGGAAATGTATCAACTGTGAAATTTAAGTTCGGATCGAAACTATTGAACTTAGCTAAAACGGCGGAAATATTGGAAGGTTTTATCAAAACAAGAGTGTCATCAACGTAACGTTTGTAGAATTTTATAGTACCATCGGCAATCAACTCGGAAACTGTTAATCTTTCAAATTCAGTTAAAATTATATTAGCTAAGACAGGTCCTAATGATGAACCCATAGAAACGCCGTCTTTTTGGACATAAATTTGCTCGTCAAAAGAAAAGGCAGTTTTGTTGCAACAATCCAAAATGAGTTTCTTCAAAGTGCGCTTTTTCAAAGTGGTTGCAATTAATTCGTCTTTATAAATACGATCTAGAATAATTTTGACTGTCCGGGAAAGTGGAACGTTGGTAAAAAGGGATTCAACATCGAAAGAAACGAACTGGTAGCCTTCTTGAAACAAATGTTTGGGAATGTTGTTAATATTGGTCACCGCATCAAAAGAATCAGAAAGAGAATGATCATTTAAAGTAAGAGGATTTAGTAAAGAAGATAAAAATTTTCCAACGTTGTAGTGTGGAGTGTTAGTAGTGTCAACTATTGGTTGGAATTTAGGTAAAGTGTCAAATTTCTTGTGAGTCTTTGGCAAACCGTGTGCTCTGCCAAAATGTGCTGTCATAGGTCTTAAAGTGTCAAGTTGTTCATCAGTAATTTCATTACGTTTGTGAAGTTTAAGTAGGTAGTTCTGTAAAGAATGAAGTCTAGTTAATGTCGGGTCAAAATCCAATTTCTTAAACTTAGAGGAATCAGAAAAAAGAGATTTGATAGAAATTACATAATCAGAGCGATTAATGAGCACAATGCCATTTCCTTTATCAGGCTTAAGGATGGCAAAAGTTTCTGTTAGTTTGTGTAGAATGTTTATCTTCTTGCACCCTAGCTTAAACTCCTTCAAGTCAAGATCGATATAATTATAAGTGAAGGAGCGAAGAGAGTTCTTAATCTTATCTTGTACGTATCTTCCTTCCTTGAAAATATCCAAATGTGATACCTGTCTCCAAATGTCTTCAGCCACAGCCATGATTTCTAGTTGGTTAGGTCGAGTTGCCAGGCCATATCTGAGTCCCAACTTTAAAACATCCAGTTCATCAGACGAGAGCGAGTGATTCGTCAAGTTTATAATTGTCTCGTTTGGGTTCTCAGTGATACCATCAGATGTCCGAAACAACTCTTCTCCTATTGAAAACCTTGTTTTCAACAGCTACAGAATACTTCACATTACAAAATCTAACAACTACAACATTCTTGATTTTCTTGAAGCACTGCTTATCAAACATAACAAACCTTTTCTTAACACTGGACTTAAAGCTAGTAAAGAACTACAACTGTTCACATAACACTTTAACTTAATCTTCTTCTACATGTCGGGTCTTTCCCTTTCTACCTCAATCCTTCTAATATATTAAACATTGTTGTAAATAAGCTAAATATTCCATTTTCAGTTATTACCATTTTCTTTATCATGTTTCGCTTCGCTTGGATAATCCTTCTTTCCGCCCACATGACAGATGCTCTCTCTCTGCGTTGCATATATATATGTGTTGTAAAGTATTGTATTTCATTCTGTCTGAAGATGACTTTGAAATAAAGTCGAAAATTTACAGTCTCAAACTGCGTCTTGTTTTGAATTATATATTGAATTCTCAAGATGTCCTGTATTTTCGGAATTTGTTTTTTACTTTATAACAATTGCATTTAATTCATTCGTTAGGTACAGTAGGTTCATTCAATCGTTTAAGGTCGTTTTCCACTAGGCGGAATTTTTCGCGCGGAGCGGAATTTTTCTTTGTCTTTTCTAATTAATTCTATCCGAGAAATCACAGGACAAAGAAAAATTCCGCTCCGCGGGGAAAATTCCGCCTAGTGGTAAACGGCCTTTATTCAGGATTTCTTCAAAAGACGACACATCAGGCATTAATAGAGATTAACTATTAACTTCGACTTCGGCCGCTGCTTGTTCTATGGCTGGTTTCTTCTTAGGCATAAAGATTCGGATTATTTTTAGACAAATGCAGAGCTCAAAAATACACGTCCGCCACAGTGTGGGTACATGTACCAGTGATGAAGCAATTTGATGACATATAATGAAGCAATTTTCATGATGAAGCAATTTTCTTGACAATTTTCTTAGTGAACTTTCGATAATTGTTTTGAACTTCTTCCAATAATTGTTAATTAATTTCTTGTTTTTTTCTTGGCAGGATATCGACTCAAGAACAGTCTTTTGCGATCCATAACTGCACAAAACCAAATAACATGCGCTCATCATTGTTCGTTAGAAAATTTACTGAATTCCAAATGCAAGTCCTTCAACTTCGTTACAGATCCCACAATTCATTTAAACTGTGAACTGAATTCAAATGTGGCTGATAGTGTTAATGATCAAAATCTGGTCGCAAACTCTCGAACGAGCTATTTTGAGACGCTAGCAACAGGTGAAGATATTTTGTAGCAAACTACTGGACGTCTCTAGAAAGTTACATGCGCTGTTTGATTTCATGCTGGAATATCCAAACTACTACACCCAAACTTTTACGTATTACAACAAGATTTTAACTTTTACATATTACAAATGGCTGGCTTCGCCACTAAATTACAATAAGATTTTCATGATATTCACTAAGCTAGGCGCTAGTGTTTTTTAAAAATTGATGTGGAAATTTTTACAATGCTGAAAGCTAGCCATAAATGCATAATACTGCCTATATCAAATATCATTTGCGTAAACGTCATAAATAGTTTTATTGTGAACAAACATAATGCATGTTCAGAATAACTGTTTCTAATATCAATATTTATTCAACTGAAAAATAGTCTAGCTCAAAAAAGCGA